GGCACTGAGTTCGATCCTCAGCACCACATAAAAATAAAGATATTGTGTCCATCTACAACTAAAAAAAAAAAATTTAAAGAAAACAAGGGATATCAATTACTTTTTTAAAGGGGGAAAAATTAAAATCATTAAGATGACTGTTGTAGGCCAGGGATGTACTTCAGTGGTATACATTTGACGACCATGCCCAAGGCCCTAGGTTCAATCCCCAGCACAACCACAAAAAAAAAAAAAAAAAAAAAAAAATTGAATTAAATCAAACTCATCAGTAATTATATGACATACAAATAGATAATATGCATTATTACCTATTAAAAAAGCACTGTTAGTGTGGGTCTTGTGGCTCAAGATCAAGGCAATGTAATATTGAGTTGAATTCTGATCCTAATGAAGGACAACAGTGATAAAATGATAAGATCTAACATATAGTATCCCCTGTGCACTTGAACAGAATGTGTATTGTTACTTTTGGATGTAATGTTCTGTAAAGTTCAATTAAATCCATTTAATATACAGTCAAGTTCAGGTCCAATATTTTCTTATTGACTTTCACTTCAGATAGTCTATCCATTGTTGAATAGTGGGGTATTTAAGACACTACTATTGCGTGGCTACCTATTTCTCAACTTCTGTTTCTTGCTTTCTATACTGTTTTTTGTTTGTTTGTTTGTTTGTTTTTTGTACCAGGGATTGAACTCAGGGGCACTTGTCCATAAGCCACACACCCCCAGCCCTTTCTTATATTTGATTTAGAGACACAGTCTCATTGAGTTGCTTAGTTCCTCACTTTTGCTGAGGCTCGTTTTCAACTTGCAATCCTCCTGCCTCAGCCTCCTGAGCCGCTGGGATTCTACTGCACCCAGCTCTATACTTCCTTTAGCTGTTAAATACATATATACCTAACAATTTCTTATGTTTTAGATCTGGAATGTCCCCAAATTCTCATGTTGAACACCACCCCAGCTACTGCTGTTACTGAGAGATGGTAGAAACTTGAGCAGGTGGGGCCCAGCTGGAAGAAGTAGGTAACAGGGTGTGTCCTTCAAGGTTCAATATCTTGTCCCTGACCCTTCATTTCTCTCTCTCTCTCTCTCTGCTTTCCAGGTGTCATGAGATGTGCAACTCTGCCCTCCACATGGCTCCTGCTATGATGTTCTGTCTCACCACAGACCCACAGCAATAGGGACAACTGACCATGGACTGAAAAGTCCGAAACTATAGGCCAAAATAAAACTTTCCTCCTTTAAGTAAATTTTCTCAAGTTTTTTATCACAGTGACCAAAAGCTGACTCACAACTGTTATATCCTCTTAACGAAATAGCCATTTCACCATCTATAATCTCCTTTTTTCTCATTACAGTTTTTAGCATAGTCTATTTTGACTGACACAAATACAGATACCCCATTCTCTTTTTGTTTCCATTTGCAAGGAATGTCTTTTCCCATCCCTGTACTTTCCATCTACTTATATCCTTAAAGGTAAAAGGAGTCTCTTGTAGGCACTATACAGATGTGTCTTAGATTTTGATGCAATCAGTCCCTATATCCTTTGTGGGCGAATTTAGTCCATTTACATTGAGGGGAGGATACTAGGGATTGAACCCAGGGGAACTTTACTACTAAGTTACATTGATAGTCCTTTTTAGTTTTTGAGACAGGGTCTCACTAAGTTGCTGAGGATGACTTGAGATCCTTCCATCTCAGCCTCCTAAATCACTGGGAAGAGGCATACACCACCATGCCTGGCAGTCCATTCACATTCGAAGCATTTTTTAAAAGTATCATGCTATGGCCAACAGGGATTTATGCCTGTAATGAAAGGGTAATTCAACATATGCAAAAATGAATAAATGTCACACTTCACATAACAAAATGAAAGGAAAAAAACATCAATGCAAACAAAAAAAAAAACATTTAACAAAATTCAACATCTTTCATGTTACCAGTTACCAACAAATTGGGTATAGAATAAATGTACCTATCATAATGACGATATATAACAAGCAATGGCTACCATCATAACTAAATGACAAAAAGCTCAAAGCTTTCTTTTAAGATCAAGAACAAGAGTATCCATGCTTGCAACTTCTATTTGCCATAATGCTACAAGTTCTAGCCACAGCAACTAAACAAGAAGAAATAAAATGCATTAAAGTAGGAAAGAAGGAAAATTACAAATGACATGATCTTGAATACATAAAATCCTAATAACCTATTTAAAAACTGTTAGAAATAATAAAAAAATTCGGGAAAGTGACAGGATACAAAATCAATACAGAAAGTCAGCAGTGGTTACTATATAATTAACAATCTGAAAAATTAAGAAAACAACTTCACTGACAATAACATCAAAAATAGTAAAATACTAATACACTTAACTAGGAAGATGGAAGGTTCATAAATTGAAACCAACATAACACTGATGAAGGAAATTAAAGATACAAGTAAACAGATGTTCATGTACTGGAGTTGTTAATATTGTGGAAATACCCATTACTGCCAAAAGTGATCTAGGCATGTAATGCCATCCTCTTCAAGATACCAATGGCATCTGTCACAAAAATATTTTAAAATTCCTAAAATTCATTCCAAACCACAAGAGGCTCCAAAAGGCCAAAATAAATAAACAAACAAATAAATAAAATCTTGAACAACAACTGGAAGCATCACACTTTTCAAAGTGTGATGAGGCTGAGTCAGGAAGATTGCAAGTTTGAGCCCAGCCTCAGAATCTTAATGAGACCTGCCTCACAGTTAATAAAAATCTAGGAACAGCCCAATGGTAGAGCACCACTCAGTTCAATTCCTAGTACTGGGGAGTGGGAGGTTGGGAAACAAACAGTATGATATTGGCATAAAAGAAACCCATGATCACATGGACAACTAATGTTGACAAACATCCCAAGAATATAAGATGCAGATGATACTTTGTTCAAAAAATGGTAATGAGAAAACTAGATATCCACATGCAAAAGAATTCTGTTGGACCACCTCATACCACACTCAAAAACCTGCCGGAAGCCATCCATGACCCATCTGTGAACTGTGCATGAACTAAAACAACGTTGAAGCCATTAGGTAAGAAAGCCTGGTACCAGGAACTCCCAGCAGCAACCCTGCTGGTTTGAGAAGACCTGGTTCATGTGACTTCCTTCCCAGCTCCATTATAAGTTCAGCAGAGCATTAGAGATGGGGTGACCCACTGGAGTCACACAGCCTCTCGGAAATAGGTGTGGCTGCCATAATGCCAATCGACCTGTTTGTGGCAAAACCCCTGCCACACCCAGAAGCAAGACTTTTCCCAATGAGACCTTATCCCTGCCTTTAATGTATGCCCTCTTAAATAAAGAATCTGGGCCATTTTTCAGTTGTTCAGTTCCAGCTCCTATCAGGACTGGAAGTCCTATTAGGCGCTCTGTTTTACCTAATTTCTGGCTCTGTCTCTATTAACTTACTAATTATTTCAGACTTTTTATTTTCTCAGGTGGCTCACACCTCCTGAGCAGAAACCTACCCTGGTGGGGTGCTGGTCATCCCAAATTAAAAACCCATTCAAAATCGATTAGTCATAAACCTGAAGACATGACATCATAATACTCCTAGAAGAAAACAGCGGGAAAAGCATCATAACACTGGTCTTGGCAATTTTTTGGAGTTCGCATCAAAAGCAGAGTCTACAAAATGTAAAAATAAACAAGCAAGCTACATCAAACAAAAATTTTCTTCACAGCAAAGGAAACAACAAATTAAAAAGGCAACCCTATAATTGGAGAAAATATTTGTAAACCACATATGCAATTATAAGCTAACAATACTATATATTCATAAGGAAATAAATGTACATTAAATGTAATAGCAAAAGAAAAATCCAATTTTAAAATGGGTAAAGGGCCTGACTATACAATTTTCCAAAGAAGATATAGAAATGGCCAACAGATACATAAGGATGCTCAAAATCACTGGACATCTAGGAAATGAACATTGAAACCACAAAGAAATATCACCTCATGGCTTTTGTAAAAAATCAAGATAGTATTAGAAGGAAACCACAACACTTTTTTTTTTTTTTAACACCAGGGATTGAACCCAAGGACATTTAACCACTGAGCCATATTCCCAGCCCTTTTCATTTTTTACTTCGAGTCAGGGTCTTGCTAAATTGCTTATGTCCTCACTAAGTTGCTGAGGCTGGCTTTAAACTTGCAATCCTCCTGCCTCAACCACCCGAATCACTGAGATTACACACAAAACTCTTGTACACAGCTGAATGGAACAAAACTTGGTAGCCATCTGGAGAACAACACTATGGAGTTTCCTCTTAAAATTAAAAATAGGACATCCAAATGATCCCACAATCCCATTATGGATATATATATCCAAGGAAATTAGTGCCTAATGTTAAATGCAACAATACTGATAATAGCCAAGGTATTGAAACAACCTAAGTGTTCCTTGATGGATGAAGGGATAAAGAAATTGTATGTTGTTTTGTGTGTGGGGGGGGGGGCGAGGAAGGAGGGAATATTTACCCTTAAAAAGAGAAGAAAATTCTGCCATTTAGGGCAACAGGGGTGAATCTGGAGGACATTATGCTATGTGAAATAAGTCAGATAAAAAAACACAAATACTATGTGATCATACTTAAATACAGAATATAAAAGTCAATACAACCACAAAAATGGAATTCTAATTAGAATAAGTTATACTCCATGTATGTATGTCAAAATACGTTCTACTGTCATGTATATATAAAAAGAACAAAAAAAATAAAAACAAAACAAAAAAGGAACCTAAAACCCACAGAAAGAAAAATACAATTGTGGTAACCAGCAGCTAGGGGAAGGGATAAATGAGATGGTAAAAACTCTCAGTTACGAGTAAGTTCTTGAGACCTTATATGCAGCATGGTGAATATAGTTAATAAAAAAATGTGCTGTAAAACTGAATGTGCTAAGACAGTAGGAAGTGTTACACAACACCAAAAATAAAAGATCACCATATCGCATAAGGGACATTTTAATTAGCTTGATTGTAGTAATCGTTTCACAAACATATTTTGTACATCAGATTCTATACCCTAAATATATACAATTTTAGTTATCAGTCATATCTCAGTAATATTTGGAGAAAAAGTAAAAGAGCAGTAATTAAGCATTTAAAACTGAAAAGTCATAAGAGTACACAAATATTCAAAATATTTGAAATACTGAAACTGCCAAATGTTCAAAAGAAATCTATACCGCCACAAAGAAAACCACATCTCCAACAGCATTTCAGGATCCAGGGAAGCAATTCTCATATCCCATAGATGAACAACTTCTCTTAAGTGTGAATATCACGTTTATTAAAAATTGAAGAATAATGTAATATAAAAAATGACTTGCAAATACTTTTTACTTTCATGAATTCTTTCTCCATTGGGTATCGTAGGTGACCATCAGAACACTTAGCAGAACTACAACTTTTCCATATCTTATATCTATAAGGTTTCTCTCCACAGGAGATCCCAAAAAATAGTTGACAGCTTTCTATGTTTCTGACATGGTACAGCTTCAAGATGAGTTCTTACATGTTGGATTGTGAGCAGCTTCTGATGACTTCCCCACACTTCTTAAGATCATGGGGCAGCTTGGAATGTGAGTTCTTCCAGGACTTTGATGTGAACTGTGACAGATGAATACTTTATACATGGCTTACATTGATAAGGTTTCTTGCCACTGTGAATCTGAACGTATTACTAAGGCAAGAGGGCTTCCTAAAGCAGTTTCCTCGTTCCTCACATCCAAAGGGTTTCTCGCCAGTGTTTCCATATGCTCAGTAAGATGAGAAGAACTACTAAAGGCCATCCCATAATCCTTACATTTATAGGGTTTTGCTCCATTGTGAATTCTCACATGCTTACTTAGGTGTGAGTAAACAGTAAAGGCTTTCCCACATTCTTTGCATTCATAGGGTTTCTCTCCAGTGTGAGTTCGCATGTGAATGTGAAGGTAGGAGGAACACGTAAATGCTTTCCCACACATATTACATTCAAAGGGCTTCTCTCCAGTATGGATTCTTAAATGTGCAATAAGATATGAGGAGGAAGCAAAGGCTTTCCCACATTGGTCACATTCGTAGGGTTTCTCTCCTGTGTGGCTTCTTATATGTTCAATGAGGCCTGAGGATGTAGTGAAGGCTTTCCCACATTCCTTACAATCATAGGGCTTCTCCCCAGTGTGAGTTCGTACGTGTTTAGTGAGACCTGAGCGCACAGTGAAGGCTTTCCCACATGCCTCACATTTATGGGGTTTCTCTCCTGTGTGAATTCTTACATGTTTACTTAGGTGTGAGGAAACAGTGAAGGCTTTCCCACATTCCTTACATACATAAGGTTTCTCTCCCGTGTGAGTTCGCACATGATTGTGAAGATAGGAGGAACATGCAAACGCTTTCCCACACATGTCACACTCAAAGGGGTTCTCTCCAGTGTGTGTTCGTAAATGTTTAGTGAGGCTTGTGCGCTCAGTGAAGGCTCTGCCACATTCCTTACATACATAGGGTTTTTCTCCAGTGTGAGTTCGCATATGAATGCGAAGATAAGAAGAACACGTAAATGCTTTCCCACATACCTTACATTCAAAGGGCTTTTCTCCAGTGTGTGTTCTCAAATGTGTAATTAGGGATGAAGAAGAAGCAAAAGCTTTCCCGCAATGGTCACATTCAAAGGGTCTCTCTCCTGTGTGACTTTTCATGTGTTTGATAAGGCCTGAGGATGAAGTGAAGGCTTTCTCACATTCCTTACACTCATATGGTTTCTCTCCAGTGTGAGTCGGTAAGTGTTTACTAAGGCCAGAGCGCCCTGTGAAAGCTTTGCCACAGTCCTTACATTTGTAGGGTTTTATTCCAGTGTGAACTCGAAAGTGATCATTAAGGCATGAAGAATTTCTAAAGCATTTCCCACAAACCTTACATTCAAAGGGCTTTTCTTCAGTGTGGGTTTTTAAATGCTGAGTTAGTGGATAACACCTAGAAAAGGCTTTCCCACATTCCTTACATTGATAAGGTTTCTCTCCTGTATGGGTTCGCATATGAATGTTAAGATTGGCAGAATATTTAAAACTTTTCCCGCATTCCTTACACTCATAGGCTTTTTTCCCAGTGTATGTTTGCACATGTGTACCTCGGCTCCTGGAGTGGCTAAAGGCATCACCACACTGCTCCCACTGGAACAGTTTGTCCTCACTGTGAATTCTACCCTGTGACGGAAGGTGAGACTGACTAACAAAAGCTTGCCCAAAGTCACTGCATTCAAATGCTCTGGCTTGCATACAAGTTGCCTGATAAGCGCCACTAGGAGTCACACTGCAATCTTTTCTATATTGACTGAACACAGCGAGTTTCTCTGCAGAAGTTTCCTTGTGCAGAGTAGGAAAGTCATTTCCAAACTGATCATAATCCCAAGTGTTCCCTCTGTTTTGAGTACCCATGTTTGTCAGAAAGTGTGAATGTCCTTTGAAGATTTCTCCATGTGGCTTAAAGTCATACAGCTCCTCTCCATTGTGGCAACTTGCCTATTGATTCGAAAATAAAAAATGAATGGTGAATAAGAAAATTTTCAAACTTATTTGTAGATTCCACCCATGTCAAGACAAAAACATTATGATGATTATGATTTTTGTTATTTTCAAAAAATATGTACATAGTTATTGCCCTCTGAGTTTCACTGCCTATGAGTAAAGGAACCCTACTGCAAAAACCCCATGCCATCTGCTCTGTGAAAGAATCTCTGTAGGTTTTCTTAAGATTATTTTAAACATTCAATGTCCAGTTCTGTGGGTGGTAATATATCCATGAGGAAACTCTGAAGTTTTAAGGTTCTGGGCATCTCTTTAGAAACCTGCTCCCTATGGGTAAAGGTTATTTCTCCCAAATATCTCTCGCTGGCACTAATTTCCATCATGTAATGCCCATTCCTCTCTAAACGTGGAAAATAAGAAATATTCAGGGCAGAGGTTGCAGCTCAGTAGTAGACCACTTGCCTCACATGTAAGGTACTGGGTTCCATCCTCAGCAACACATAAAAATAAATAAATAAAATAAAAGTATTGTCCATCTACAATTAAGAAATAAAAGAGAAATATCCATTGTGAATCTTACCAGTTGTATCCCACTTGTCATTTTTAACCAAAACACATCCTGTCGAAGTGCTGCCCATTCTGAAGTAAAACAGAAAAACATATAAAAGTGTTTCCATGATAAAATAGTCAGGTGGAAAAGTTAAAAATGATACATCTCATTTGTACCTGTTTTCATATTAATATGCTAAAAAACAAAGCCAGAATATATTCAAGTAGTTTGGCTATATCTAAAAATTCAAGGGGCAAGGGAAGCAGCTTGGTATTAGCATGTATGAGGCCCTGGGTTCAATTCCCAGTAACAAAATAATGACAATAATAACTAAAATAAAATAAAATTTGACAGTCACAAGGACATGGGTCAAAATTTAGAAATTAATAACTTATTCTGAAAAATAAATGTCCTGTTAAACAGAAACAGTATTATTAGGAAAGGAAACTAAGAAAGGTATGAACAAAAACCATACGTGAAAAACATAAACTCAAAGAAGAAAGAGCAAGTCACTGGCTGAGACTGTAAGAATGTCTGGAATAAACGGGAAGTAATGGAGTACTAGAATGTGAAGATATCCCAAAGCTTCCAAGTCCAATAGCCTCGGCCTTCTCACTCAAAGGGTATTTTTTAGTTTCCTCTGGTTAGGCAGTGGTACAGGCCTATAATCCCAGCAACTCTGAAAGCTGAGTCAGGAGGATTGAAAGTTTGAGGCAGTTTGAGCAACTTAGCAAAGACCCTGTCTCACAATAAAGAATAAAAAGGGCTGGGGGTGCTAGGGTTTGGGCTCAGTGGTAGAGTGCTCGCCTTAGCATTCATGAAGCACTGGGTTCGATCCTCAGTACCACATAAAAATAAAATGAAGATATTGTGTCCACCTAAAACTGGAAAAATAATAATAATAAATATTTTTTTTAAAAAGGCCTGGGGATGTAGCTCAATAGTAGAGCTCCCCTGGGTTCCAACCCCAGTACTGCAAAAAATAAAGTGTCCCCAGTGGTAGAGCTTTTGCTTAACATGTTCAAGACCCTATATTCCACCCCTGGCATCATAAAAAAGAAAATTCCTTTAATACTGCAAACATAATGAACTTCCCATTGACCAGAACTATTTTTCACAAATACTTACCTTGGATGACACCTCTCTCCACTGTCCTCAACTCTTCTTCTGCCTCCAAACAAGAAATCAGGCTGGGTTTGATGAGCTGACATCCTGTACATGAGGAAAGATGCATTAATGGAAGTGGCTCATTCAAAAGATCATAAACTTTCCCATGATTTAGGATCTATGGTTCTAAAGACAGAAGTGAAATGATTACTGAAAAAAGACTTCATATGCAAATACCCCCTCTTAATATCTGATCCCTGAAACCCAGACTGATGATTATGTAGACATTTACAAAGCACTAAATGTTAATCAAATAGGAAATAAAGTGAAACAAAAAGATTTTGTAAACATGGGGAAAATCTACACAAGTCATTCTTAAAACCTTACAGTGTATCAGATTCTATGGAGGAAATGTTAAAACACAGATGACAGAGTCCCAACTGAAGAGTTTCTGATTCAGTACACCAAAGATGGAGGCTGAAGATGCACTTTTATGAGAGAATAATAATGAAACTATTGATCCTAGGACCACATCTTAAAAACCACCACAGTAGATAACAACATATTGGGACTGGGACTATGCCAGTTATTTTCCTCACAGTTGACATCACTGATATTGCAAAACAGTAAAAACACATTATACTTCTGTTTTATGAGATGCAGTAATGATGGCAGTCTTACCTACAGCCACCAGGTTCTGGTAGTTCTCCAGCATCACCTCTCTGTACAGGTTTCTCTGAGTTTGGTCCAGTAAAGCCCATTCCTCCTGGGTGAAGTCTAAAACCACATCCTCAAAGGTCACAGACTCCTATAACACACACATTCCAGTTTGAGCCAAGAAACATCTCCATAAAGTTCACTGAGAATGAGAATGGATAACCCAATGCCTAAACAGAGTTGGAAGTTCTCCCAATATCTACCTCAGAGTTTCATGGTTCTAGAGACTCTTTGTTTGCACACTCACCCACTATTCATCTTCTCCACTCATATGGCTTGAATGGCACACTGAAAACATGAATGTATCTCACCACAACCAGACCAGGAGCTCTTTCTCATCTTACTTTCCTCTATTAAAATATACTCCTGGCCGGGAGCCATGGCATACTGTAATCCCAGCAGCTTGGAAAGCTGAGGCAAGAGGATTGCCAATTCAAAGAGGATTGCCCCTGTCTCTAAATAAAATACAAAAAGGGCTGGAGATGTGGTTCAGTGGTTGAGTGTCCCTGGGTTCAATCCCCAGTACCCAAAAATAAAAAATTAAATTAAATTTTAAAAAAAAATATATATATTCACACATATATCACATTTTATACATTCAATAAATGATAAATAAATAAAGTCTTTCATAAAATGAAACATTCACCTTCCTATCATCTATCACAACCCTCAGCAAAATGTGAGACATGCAGTTGGTGCAAAGAAATGCCGGGACGGGCTGGGATTGTGGCTCAATGGTAGCGCACTCGCCTAGCATGTGCAAGTCCCTGGGTTCGATCCTCAGCACCACATAAAAATAAAATAAAGATATTGTGTCTATCTACAACTAAAAAAATAACAATAAAATATTTTTTAAAAAAAAGAAATCCCAGGACGATTTTCAGGATAATTGTTCCCCAATATAAGAGGCTGCATTCTCAGGAGAAATTCAACTTGGACTCAGTCCTTCAGGGAGACTTTATATGCTTTAAGAATCCCTGCAGACAAGAACACCTAGATGAAAATATCTACCTGGAGCTAGGAAGTATGCCATTTGGGAGGATAATACATTCTTCCTACCTGGTAACAATTTGTCAGGCCATCAACCACCATCCTTTCTGCCTCTGTCTTTTCTTCATGAAGGCAGATGGGGCCCCTAGAAAATAAGCCTAGTAGGAAGAGGGGGAAAAAAGGCATAAAAAATCCAGAAGTGACCATTATTCCCACACTCACATGCCTAAAGGTCATTCCATTCTAGTTCAAAATTCCCACATAAGCCAGCCCACTCAGGAAAACACGCTAGCCCCGCCACAACCCATGTTCACAGGCACTGCGCCGTTCCTGCTGACCCCAGTACACAGGGTCCCACAGTCAAACGGGCAGACTGGAGAGGATGTCCACTGTTCCCTGACCAGGCCAAAAAGACTTCAGTCCATTTTTCTGCTGCCCACTGCTTGGTGGCAAAGGGGCTGAGGTAGCCACCACAGCCCCCAGGGCTCGCCTTGCCCACATGTAGGCAGAATGGCTGGGAGCCAGGATGTGTGTGGCTCGCCCAGCCCCTGCTGGTCCTGGAGCAACTTGTGTGGATGAGTGAGGACCACAGCCTTCCTGTGCCAAGGCTGGATGGTGTTTAAGTCACACAGTTAATTGCTTCAACTTTCTCTAGATGGTTTCCGCCCTACTAGTTCAGTGCATGGTTAAAGGGGGTCTCTGTTCAGTACCTAGCCACCTATCCTACCAATATAGTCGTGGAAAAGAAAGAACACTGACTTAACAGCAATTTAGCAAATACTGCAGAAGAGTCAAAAACTTTTCAGTTTCTTGCAGATATATTACCAAAGAAGATTTTAGCTAGTAAGTACCTGAAAATGTTTAAAAAGGAAGAGCATGAGGACGATGATGATGGAAGTGAAATCTAGAAATCACCTGGCGAGGACCCTCCTGGGTGAGCCCTGTTCCTTTGAAGCAAGCACATCACCATGTGGCTTTGGTCTCCTTTTCCAGAAACTTCCAGTACAGCATATTCCTTCATGGCTAAGACTGAGCATCTCCTGCATCTATGCCATGAAAAGCTGAAGGGAAAATAGTGCAACTGCAGTGACAGGCCACCCTGCAGCTGACACCACTGTACTTCCCCTTGAACTTGCAGACAGATTCTGAAGAGTTTCTGGATAAGCTGTGGATTTATATACGATTTATATTCTGAAATTAGTTCTTATAAAGAACTGGATTTAGTTTTAGCTAAATATGTAGTTCCTAAGTCATACATTGCCTCTCACCTCTGTTTATGTATTTTTTTTAAATTTTGACTATTCAAATTTTATTTTTTTATTGTAAAGAAACATATTTTTCTTGGGCTGAGGTTATGGCTCAGTGGTAGAGCACTTGCCTAGCATGTGTGAGGCACTGGGTTCGATTCCTGGCACCAAATATATAAATAAATGAACAAAAGAAAGGTTCATCAACATCTAAAAAAATTTTTCAAAAATAATAAAATAAAAAAAGAAATATACTTTTCTATTAAAGATCTGTACATATTTTTATAGTAACATGCTTTGTGGAACTAGTTTTAGGATCCTTTTGTTCTAATCCTTTGCTTATTACCTGAGAGTTTTGTGAAAGTTAAAAGCAAGCATTTCTTTCTGGGGGTTTTGCTCAGCAGTGGGTGTATACTTAGCAGCACCAGGATAGGTTCCCCAGTACCAAAAACCAAAAGCCCACTTATATTCCCAGAGAAGCTCCCAAATTATCAAATGAAACACAGAAATGCTTCTTCTGCATTTACATCCAGTAAAATCACCCTTTTTAGTTTCAAGTCTATGAATTTTGACAAATGTATAATTTGGGGGAATTTTCATTTTGCTGTGTTTTGTTTAAGACAGGATCTCATGTTGCCCAGGCTAGTCTCAAATTCAGCCTCCCTAATAGCTGGAATTACAGACACCTATCACTGTGCCAGCCACATCACCCAAAAGATTACCCTGTGCTGCCTATCCCCTACCCTCTGGCAACCACTGACATTTTCTGTTCCTCTTGTTTTTTAAAAATTATTTTAAAAGTATTTAAAAATCCACTTTTGTCAAGCTTTGAGTTTTTAACTAATGTACTCATGTAACTATCACAGATAAGATACAATGTTTTTGTCACCCTCTGAACAAAGCCCTCCTGGTCAACCCCATCACTTTACCCTGGCAACCCTGAGCACTAAATGTTAATCAAATTAACTGTTTTTTGTCGCAGTAGCATCAGCCAGCAAACTTTCTGGTAATGCCATATAAATATTTTAAGCTTTCTGGTCTATATAATCTCTGTAGCAACTACTCAGCTCTGCCACTATAGTAGGAAAGTAGCCAAAGATAATATATAAAATGTAAAAGAATGAACATGGATGTATTTCAATATTTTGGACTCTGAATTTTCTATAATTTTTTTCTTAGTTGTAGATGGACACAATATCTTTATTTATTATTTATTTATTTATTTGGTGCTGAGGATCGAATCCAGGGCCTTGCACATGCAAGGTGAGCGCTCTACCGCTGAGTCATAATCCCAGCCCCTCTAAAATTTTTATTTTTCTTTAATTAGTTAAAAATGTAAATACTTAGCTTACATTCTGTATAAAAATGGAACTAGATTTGGCTCACAAACCAGTGTGTTGACTCACCTGATCCAGAATGTTGCGTAATTGGAATAATAAGGTATGTAGCATGAGTTTGTCATTTTTGTATTTAGTAGAAGCATTTGAGATTTGTCTATGTGGCTGCAGATGTTAGCTGTCCATTCCTTTTTACTGCTGAGTAGGATTCCATTGTATGGAAATACCAGTTTATTCATTCTCCAGGCACATGGATAATGCCCCATTTAGATTACTCCCAGTTTTGATGGTCATAAATAAATCCCTATAGGCATTTGTGTAAAAATGTGCAATGGAGCACAGCTATCAATCCCAGCAACTCAAGAGTCTGATGCAGGAGAACCGCAAGTTCAAAGCCAGCCTCAGCAACTTAGAGAGGCCCTGAGCAATTTAGCAAGGCTTTTGAGCAACTTAGTGAGACCTTGTCTCAAAATAAAAAAATAAAACAGGTTGGGGGTATGGCTCAGTGGCTAAGCACCCTGGGTTCAATCCCTGGTACAAAAAAAAAGGGGGCTAGAGTTGTGGCTCAGTAGTAGAGTGCTTGTCTAGCACATGTGAGGCAATGATCCTCATCACCACATAAAAATAAATAAATGCTACAATGCCAGAGCAATGTGTCACAACTAGAGCCAGAAAAAGAGATATTGAGCCATGCCACCCATCAGAAAAAGTTTAATGGTCTCATTTTACAGATGAAGAACTGTAAACCCTGAGAAATACACCTCTTTAACTGCCTATGGTGATAGAACTCATAATGAAATCATGTAGCACCTATAACTAAAGCAAACATACCTGGGGGCTGACTTACAAAAGAGCCCTCTCTGCTGACTTTAGTATCCCTGAAATGAACAAGCAGCAGCATCAAGCCCAGAGAACTAGAAATATACTATATAGAGACTCTGAAAAATAACATCAGCAGAACTTACCACAGGACAAATTAATGGCTTCCATCCCGTAGAGCTGATGGTGAAATAGGCCTGTGATTCCAAGGACACATCAAGGTAGCTTACGCATTTAAGGGGATGGTGGCAATCTCTGTTCCTCTGTATAGAAGGTTATATGTGTTCCTGTAGATATCAACCATTTATCAATAAGCATTACTTATTATTCATCAAACATCAAGCAAGGACAATATGACACAAGAAAATTACAGATCAATACGTATGATGCTGGGTGCAGTGGTGCATGCCTGTAATCCCAGCAGCTCAGGAGGCTGAGGCAGGAGGATAACAAGTTCAAAGCCAGCCTCAGCAAAAAGTGAGGCACTAAGCAACTCAGTAAGACCTGTCTCTAAATAAAATTCAAAATAGGGCTGGGGATGTGGCTTAGTGGTTGAATGCCCCCAAGTTCAATCCCTGGTACTCAAAAGTAAAACAAAACAAAAAAACAAAATAGATCAATATGCATGATGAACATAAATGCAAATATCCTCATCAAAATGCAGTTAGCCCTCTCTATCCACAGGTTCCACATAGTAGATTCAGATAAGATTGGGCACATTCAGCGTGGTGTGGCCGTAGACTATATCTGAAGTTTGATCAACAAACTTCAGATCAAAAATACTTTTTTTAAATTCTGGCGACAGCCAGGCACAGTGGCATATGCCTATAATCCCAGCAGCTCAGGAAGCTGAGGCAGGAGGATCATGAGTTCAAAGCCAGCCTCAGCGACTTAGTGAGGCCCTAAGCAACTTATTGAGACACTGTCCTAAATAAAATACAAAAAGGGCTAGAGATGTGGCTCGGTAGTTAAGCAGCCCTGGGTTCAATCCCGGTACCAAAAATTAAAAAAAAAAAACATGGTTGGGGGCTAGGGATGTAGCTCAGTGGCAGAGTTCCTGCCAAGTATGCACAAGACTATGGGTTTGAAATCACCTCAAAATAAAAATTAAAAAAAAATTGAAAACAATCCCATTTACAGCAACTACAAAAAAAATACTGAAGAAAAAAATCTATTCATGAAGATCAAAAATATGTACTCTGAAAATTATAAAATATTGATGAAAGAATTGAAAACAACCCAAAAAATGGAAAATGACAACCAAACGCGATGCAGCTCTGGAATAGAGTGCCTGACTTAGCGTGTGAGGCAACAGGTTCAATCCCCAGTATCACCCAAAAAAAAAAGAAAAATAAAATGACAATTATATTCATAGATCAGAATTATTAAAATGTCCTTATTGGGCTAGGGTTTAGATCAGTGGTAGAAAGGTTTTCCTAGCATGCCCAAGGCCTTGGATTTGTGAAAAATAGAAAATCCCAATGGTCCATTTTCAGAATACAGGTATTTAGCCTTAAATGTAAAATTATTTGGGATGTAAGAAAGGTGGCTGGAGAGGAGATCAGAATGGAAAATCACAAGGCAGTTAACACAGAGGGTAAAAATTCACAGGCCCCTGACAAACCGCAGGTGAGAAGGAAGGCCCCACCACCTGACCAACAGAGAGAAACTGGGTGCACTCAATCCAAGGGGGCTTTCCCATCACAAGAGAACAAAGGGAGATGGGGAAAACTAAAGGTATATTTCTTTTAAAAACCCAATAGGAGACAGCAAAACCTCGGTGATATTCGAAATTACTATGCCTTCTATAGCACTCCGCCAATGAGGAACCAGTGGAGGGATCTTGCACTCTAGGGGATAAATCACTAGTTATACCCAATGTGGGGGTCCCTGACCACTAGGCACCTGATCTTGCAAGATTACTATTAAAGTAAAGCCTCATTTTTTACTGTTCCTTATATCTTTTAGTCTATTCTTTGGGCTTGGGCAGGTGGAAAAAAAAATTACCCAAAGTGATCTACAGATTTAATGACAACCTTTCCAAAATTCCAATGGCATTTCCCCCAGAAATATTTTTTAAATCCTAAAATCCACATAAAACCAGAAAAGACTCACCAGAGCCAAAGAACTCTGAGCAAGAACACAGCTGGAAATCTCAAGCAAAACTGCATGTACTGACATAAAAAGCTGACACAAGAGACCAATGAAACAGAACAGCAAACTCAGAAATAAATCCATACATTTATGGTCAGTTGATTTGCAAACTATCGATCTGATAAGGGCCAATTTCTTACAGTGTTGGGCAACTAGTGGGCATCATAAGTATTCCAGAGAACTCCAAGAGAAACTAAATGAGGTTGTAGAAACCTCTAGAGTAAAGGGGTTTCTCAGAGCATTAATAAAAATGCCTGGTGATTTTCATTTGTATATAAAATTTGTAAATGAGGAATATCCTCCCATTAGAACCCAAAAAAGGACAAAAAGATGCTGAATTCATGTGTCATCAAGAAGTATATTAAATGAATATCCATGGAGAATATTATTAATGTAATGTCATACCTGTAAGTCCTAGAGAAAGGTGTATACAGTCAGTGTTGTCTGCAAAGATAATATGTGATTACAACATTGTTAAGTTACCCCAAAGGTCATGTGTAAAACAGGAAATGTGTCCCTTTGGAGGGTGAGGCCCACTGAGGCTGAAAGGCTGCTGAAATAAGTAATGGGAAAAAAAACACAGAATTTGTAATAAGAGAAAAAATATTACTAGTTTTTGATTAAATACAATCAGTAATGTTAATAATACTACTACCAAGTATTAATTATGGGGCCTTCCTAGATGAAACCATGTTATTTCAAGATTGCAATCATCCATTATGAGGCACCATTTATTTATTTTCAGATTTAACAATGGGCAATAATGGCCTGCCATATGGAGAAGTAGTGGAGATAATCACCTTTTATTTATTATGTTTTATATAACCAGGTTTAATCCTGGAGGGCTTTAATTTGAGGCCATATTAACTACTTTAATTAGGGCCCACAAATGAAACCAATTTGTAAATGACAAAAACTGACTTTAGTTTTAAATTACTATTTATTCTATCAGAGGATATAGGTGGAGTATTTTAGGGCAGTGGGTATGTGACTCTGAAATCCAGTCAAGCCTGCAGTTAAAAGAGAAGCATACCAATTTTCTCATATTGAGTAACTTTAGGAATGTAAGGAGAACAATATTTAAATTTAGTGGGATCCTCAGGTATAGCTATAATTGAGTCCCCATTATTAATGTATTCATGAAATTTTGTCAATTGATCACGTTAGCACACTTTAAAGATAAAATAAAACCTACATTGTGCAGGCCCAAATCCCAACTAACACCCTTTTTAATCTCTTTTTTTTTCCCCCCCTTGAGACAGGGTCTTGCTCTGTTGTCCAGACTGGCCATGAATTCCTAGACTCAAGAGATCCTCCTACCTTAACCTCCCTAATAATTTTTTTTAATATATTTTGTTACATAAAAGTTTAATATATAAATTTTTAATTTTCAACAAGATCAAATTATGGAACTTCTTTTATTTTTCTTTCATATGTATAATCTGTCATATAATTACTTCATGCTATTTATTTTTTTTTAATTTGTTTTTAGTTGTAGATGGACACAATACCTTTATTTTTTTTATTTATTCATTTTATGTGGTGCTGCCATATGGAGAAGTAGTGGAGATAATCACCTTTTACTGACATAAAAGCTGACACAAGAGACCAATGGAACAGAACAGCAAACCCCTGGGTTCAATCCCTAGTACCAAAAAAAGAACCCAGTGCCTCACACGTATGAGGTAAGCACTCTGCCACTGAGCCACAATCCCCCCCATTCATGCTATTTATAATAAAATATTTTCATATCTATTCAACTAACTTGTATTTTCTCCCCTGGCACCTAGGGATTTGATATTAAAATTATTAATTAGGGCTGGAGATGTGGCTCAGAGGAAAAGTGCTTGCCTAGAATGCACAAAGCCCTTGGTTCAATTCCCAGCACCACAATAAAGAAAAAAAGAAATTAAAAATAAAATTACTAATTAATCTATGGCCACTTTTATCTTTGTTCAACTGGCATTTGCACTATACTTAAGTTTTTTATTCCCATTCAGCTGGGAGTCATCTGAGATGACAGTCTTTTCCCTCACCTTTTTCATTTTGTTCTAGGCTTTTAGCCACCTGATGCCTAGGTATTTAGTTTCTGTCTCTGGCTGATAAAGGAAAAAGGGAGCAGGGTTGGGGGCCAAAGCCTCTGGGCAACCTCTCCTCACATCCTGCTCCTTTTCTTATACTCACGCACAAAATCTTTCAAAATGGATTGGCACAGAGACATGGATGGACAGGAAGAATAACTTCTGATGTTCTATAGCACAGTAGGATAACTGTGGTAGACAACAAGTAACTGAATAGTTCAAAGTGATTAACAGGAATCTGAATGTTCCCAACACAAATAAATTATATGTCTGTCTAAACATAGTTTTAAGTGTCAGTAAAAATACTAATAAGCCAGGTATGGTGGCACACACCTGTACTCCTAGCAATTCAGGAGGCTGAGGCAGGAGGATTGCAAGTTCCAAGCCAGCCTCAGCAACTTAGTGAGGCCCTAAGAAACTTACTGAGATCCTGTCTCAAAATAAAATACAAAAAGGGCTGGGATGTTTCTCAGTGGTTAAGCACGCCTGGGTTCAACACCCAGTATCAAAAAAATTAAAAGTAAAAAGGTCTGAAGATGTGGCTCAGTGGTTAAGTACTCCTGGGTTCAATCCCTAGTACCAAAAAAAAAAAAAAAAAAAAATTAAAAATGGCTTGTACCTCTAGATAGCTAAACATTGTAATAAACATACTAAAACATAAGAAATAATTAAATTAAGACTTTAGCACAAACTGGTTTCACAAAATAAGGCCTAGGGATCCCTAATTAAAAACAGTTTATTAACAATGGCCCAATGTAAATTAAAATAGGACCTCAAGGATTTAAACTTACATAAATCCCAGTTCATAAAGAGGAGATTATCTCTACTGCTGTTCCATCTGTCAGCTCAACCTTGCCTATTTTTAAATTTGAAAATAAAGGTCACCTCATGATGGGTTGCTACAACTCTAAGGTGGGACCCCATCTAAAATTTCTGATTCTATCCATTCAACACCCAGTAAATATTGGCCTCTTATAAATCTGGTTAATATGTTCTGTTCAGTGCCTATTTCAACAGCCTCTAGGCTGCAGCTTGCCCCCACCTCCAAAGACATGCAATACACCTTTTCCTCATCCAATAGATCTGGCATCCCTGCAATATCTTTGAAAACAAAGAGGACATACATCTTCTGCAGGAACATAGGTATGATAATGATAACATCTTTCCCTGAGGAGATTCTACCGGCACACTCATGAAGGACAAATAACTGCAATATCTTCTAGTACTCTTTTTTGAGTTCTGGCAAAATAGTCCACATTTTGTAAAATTTCACAAACTTTTTGTCCAAACTAAAATCAACAGACACTCCTATTAGCACCTTCAAATTAAAAAAAAAAAAAAGAGTAAACAAAAACTCAGCTTGAGATAGAGGTTCTGGGAATCTTTTTTAATGCTCCTCGAGTCTCTAGACCAGTTGTGGTGGCCATTGGTTGCCCATTGCATCTAATGTAAGGAACTGCCCCTCTTGCCCTCCTGCTATTTGCATTATAGGTATGACTGGCCACCTACCAGTTTCTCTTGGAAATAAAGGATCTCACAAACCCTGAGCCTATCACCTCCCATACCCAGCTACCCATTATGCTTTGGGTCATGGAAACACCACCCCACAAGCTTTGCATAAGTACTAAGGCCTCCTTAAGACAGCAAGGAGCAGAACATGGGACCTCTGGTATACTCCACCTGCAAGAGACAGTGGCTTCTCCTGTTATCAGCCTCTTACCAAAGTGTCCTCCATGACTACCTAAAAAGTCCCTTGGAATTAACTGAAGAATAATTGGAGTCCTTAGACTAGGGCACTGCTGACTATCATACATGATGAAGTTTAGTGGAGAGTTGCTGCTTTCCATCCACTAGAAAGGACTCAAGAAACAACCTAAGTAGCCAAACATGGGGTATTCATCTTAGCATTGGAAGCCCTGATCAACAAACGCCCCCATCTCTTACATTTATTATAAACTACTGGGCCATTACCTAAAAACTGGTCCCATTCAAGGAAAAACAAAAACCCCTCTGGGAATTTCTTAACTGATAGATACCCAAATGTAAATCAAAATCTCACATTTCCACATACACTTAGGCCATAAAACAAGGCTTTGCCAGGACATCCATTTTCTCTTCAGAGTTAGAAATATGATAGCAGGATCTAAACTTCCAGCAGAAAAAAAAAAATAACACAATCAAAAAATTCTCTCAAGTATAGCTAAACAACATTCTGTTAACCGTTGGTATTATTACCACTGGCTTGGGTGCTTTACTGGTTTACAACCAGAGGGTCACATTAACTCCATTGGGTACCTACTTAAAAAGGATACCCTAATCCCACACCCCTGATGACTTCACCTCAGCCCAATGTATCACTGCTAAAAATGACATCACCCCAGAAAACATAGCCCCAACTCAGGAACTTGCTGTTGGAGATGGCTTCTCCCATTACACTTAAACCTCCACAAAACAATGCCCACAGACTGTCACCTGAAACACAAAATGGACATAGAATAATTTTGCTTTTCCTCCTGAACTCACTGTCTGCTTGTGCCATGCTCCTGGTACACCAATTGTTCTCAGTTCAAAATTTATTTTTTCTCTGCTCAAATGTATACCTCCATACAGCTCTAGGAAAATCTGTATTACTAAAATTAATGGAGATTACTGTTTTCCTTCCCACATATCACCAAACTCACAGCCCAGGAAAGGACCACCTATTCACATGTTGCATTTTCCTATTACACTCCTCCCACTTTCTCCCGTCATCTCATGGTTTGACTCACCAACCACAATCTCTCTTTAGATGTTGTTATACACAACATCTATTTTTTTTTTAGGGTCACCGACCCTGATGTTTATTTTATTTTTTCGAGAGAGAGAGAGAGAGAGAGAGAGAGAATTTTAATATTTATTTTTTAGTTATCGGCGGATACAACATCTTTGTTTTGTATGTGGTGCTGAGGATCCAACCCGGGCCGCACGCATGCCAGGCGAGAGTGCTACCGCTTGAGCCACATCCCCAGCCCCCATACACAACATCTAAACTTTACAAATACTTTACCAAATGATTACTTTATAATCCCTAAAATGAAAGTGCAGGTTATGTCACTAAGATTCTGATACTCCTCTAACTAGCTTATGAAGTGGCAATGTGGCAAAACTATAAGTAGCTTCTAAGAACTAAGGACAGACTCCAGCAGACAGTAAGCAACAAAATCTACAGCTGTAAGTGAGTGAGTCTACAGATAGGTTTTTCCCTGTGTAAGCTTCCCTAGCTAAGCAATATGAGACTGCAACCCCAACAATGACTTGTTTGCAATCAATTGAAATCCTGAGCAGAGACTCTACTTTAACCATGTATAGGCTCCTGACTAAAAGAAACTAAGATAATAAGAGTATGTTGACAGTGCCCAGTGGTACATGCCCACATCCCAGCTACTGAGGAGGCAGAAGCAAAAGGATCACTTGAGCTCAGGAATTGCAGACCAGTAAGGACAGGATAGCAAGACTCTATTTCAAAAAGAAAAACAGGTCTGGGGCTATGGCTCAGTGGTAGCGCACTTGCCTGGCATGTGTGAGGCACTGGGTTCGATTCTCAGCACCATGTAAAATAAATAAAGGACTATCAACAACTAAAATATTTTTAAAAATTTTTTTAAAAAAGAAAAACAAACAAAAAGAGCCTAGTGTGGTGGCACATGCCTGTCCCCAAAACTCAAGAGGGTGAGGCATGGGAATCACAAGTCAATGTGGGCAACTTAGCAAGACCCTGTCTCAGGATAAAAATTTTTTAAAAGATTGGTTGTAGCTCAGTTGCAGAGCACTTACCTAGCATGTGTAAAGCCCTGGATTCAATCCCCAGTACAGGAAAAAAAAAAACACAAACACAAACACACACACACACACACACACATTCATGTTTTATTTTATCTTGCCTTATTATCATCTGAATATGTATAACTTAGTTTCCCTGTCATTTACATATTAAAGAGTAAATTCTTTCCTCAGCTTTATTTTCCATAGAAAATAACTGTAGTGTCAAACCTGGAAGTAATCTTTGATGCACGTCCCTCTCTCCTGCAAAAAACATAATCCAACAATTCATAGAAAGCTTTCACATCTTCTACTCCATTCTGTTATGGCTAACTCTAGCATCTTGTAGTCTTGGTCTAGGGTTAATCATCATTCTTTTCTTAGTTTCACTCCCATAGGAGGATCAGAGAATAACACTGTTCTCCACCTTTGTTAATTTGTAAAAATCCATTATTCCCTTAGTTACATGTTAGCCTCCTCCACTAATTTACAAGCTCCCTGAGAACAGCTCTACATTGAATTTTTGTCACTATGCCTTAGCCAGCCATTCAGGCATTCTTCAATCTACAAGGAAAACAAGAAATGAAAAACACTGAAACATACTAAGAGAATACAATCAGAAGTATGACTTTCTGAAAGAGTGATTCCTAAAAAGACACAAAAACAATAGCCACTACTCTAGCTTCAAAGAGAATAAAAAAGCAATTACAATATATGAACCTCGAATAGAGATAAGAACTAAAAACAACCAAAACCATGCTTTTACTTTTTTACCCAGCCTATATATGAATAACATTTTTAAAAATTTTCTAAGAGACGCATTACCAAGCACGTAGAGCTCAATATGCCTGCAATTTTCAAATACTTCTTTTCAAATAGGTCAGTCAAAAAGGTTCATTTTTCTGGAGAGAAAAGTGATAAACTGAAATATTAAGTGCAATCAAGTCTCCATCCTGTCTTCCACAGGCCACCGCGAAGCTCTGCGGGAGGCACAGCCCGGCAGTCAAATGAGAAGAATGGCTGAGTGTGCTTGTTTCGTGGACTGGCTCGCGATCTACCCACGTTTACGGTTGCAGACGAAAACACGCACTCCCTGGACACCTACCAACGCGGCTTTCTCTCTAATTGTAACGTGTCAGAAATGGATACAGGGCGCTCAAAGCCAACGCCGCCGGCAAGCACCCCCGCAGCTTACTCCACGCAGGCGCGCGGGTCGCCAGGTGGGGACGCGGGGACGCAGCCACCAAGACCCAAATTGCCGGACCTTCTTTCCTCCCCGGGAATAATCCACAGAGCCTATCTCGGGGGCTTCTGAAGAGGCAATCGCCGTGTCTGCAAAAACCCCGAGGAAGCGCGTTTACCAGCAGTCGCGACGTGGCTCTGGACAGCCCGATCGGCCTCGCAGACCCGGTAGCCCGGGAGGGGGCGGGGCAAGCCAGGTGTCTCCCGAGAGGCTCCTCGGCGTCCCGGATCAAACGCGTACTTTCACTGCCCCCTTCCAGCGCCAGTCGGCCCCGCACCCAGCCCTGAAGGCGTAGGAAGCCCCACGACCACTAAAGTGAAAAGGAACCCAGCTGCCAGAAGTCAGCACCGGAAAAGACGGAAGCGAGCCATGACGTCACTTCCGCCTGCGACTTACAGCCGGAGGAGACTGACTGCGGGGTTCGGGCATCAGACACTCTAAACCTCTAATGGCAGAGAAATGGTAGCTTCCTCGCGCGAGAGTGCGGCTGAGCCTGAGATCCACTCAGAGCGGGGGCAGGAGGCAGAACCAAGCGCGGAGGTGAGGTGACTACTAGGCCCGGGGGCAGGGTCTTCGGGGGCGGGGCTGGGGCGGATCTAGGCCTGGATGCTGACTCCGCCCACAGCCACAGAGTCCAGAGTTGATGCTTCATATTGATGAACCTGACAATGCAAGGTAGTACCAAAACAAACTGTTGTTCTGGCATAAAATCAGACACGCAGAACAATAAAACAGAATAGAAAGCACAGAAATAAACCCATGTATATACAGTCAAGTGATTTTCAACAAAAGTACCAAGAATACACAACAGGAAAAAGAGTCTCATATAAATGATGCTATGAAAACTAAACATACACATGCAAAAGAATGCAACTGGACCGTTATCTTACACCATACACGAAAATCCATCCCAAATGGATTAAATAATTAAACCTCAGGCCAGGCAATCCAGAAAACTCCTAGAAATAAACAAAAGAAAACCTTCCTGACACTTACCTTGGCAATGATTTTTTGGAGTTCACACCCAAACCACAAGCAACAAAATAAACAAGTAAGGCTATATCAAACTAAAACAATTTCTAAAAGCATAGGAAACTATCAAACAAATAAAAAAGTAAAAAATGGGAGAAATTATTTGTAAACCATAAATCTGATAATGGGTTAATAGCCAAAAATAAATAAATAGGGAACTCATACAACTGAGAATGGAAAAAAAAAACCCAAATAGCCCAATTTAAAAATAGGTAAAGGAAGTTCTGGGGTGGGGGTGACACCGTGGTAGAGTACTTTTGTAGTATGTGCAAGGCCCTGGGATTGATCTTCAGCACTAGAAAAAAAAATGGCAAACAGTGCAGAGCATTTGCCTAGCATGCACAAGGCCGTGGATTTGATCCCCAGCACCTGTAAGTAAGTAAATGAATAAATAATAAATTCAAAGGACCAGACTAGCTATTCTTCCAAATAATTCATATAAATAGCTAATGGGCATATATGAAATAATGCTGTACATCAGGGATCACAAGGGATATGCAAATGAAAACCATAATGAGATGTAACCCCATGCATGATAGGATAACTATTATTAAAAAAATCAACACATGACAAATGTTGGTACAATGGTAAAGGAAACAGAACCCTGTATGATGCTGGTAGTAATACAAATTGGTAGTCCTATGGGAAAAAGTGTATAAGTTCTTTACAATATTAAAGAGTATATTGCCTCACATGCAAGAAGTTCTGGGTTCGATCCCCAGCACCACCAAAAAAAAATAGTATAACTATAATGTTATCCAGCAAACTCACTTTTGGATATGCAATCAAGAAAATAAAGTCACTACGTGAGACATCTCCATGCTTGAGTTCATGACAACAATGCTGAGGGGAGGGGGAGAGAGGGAGTCTACATGTGTTGTCTAAACTAGCCTCAAGCAATCTTCCTGACTCCTCCTCCTGTGTAACTGGGTCTACAGGCACACAACTGGGAAACAGAAGATATCCCAAAATTTGCAGTCCAATGACCTCTACCTTCAGATTCAAGGTGATCTTCTTGATTACACTTCAACACATACTCAATGACAAATGTTTTCCACAGACACCTTAGAAAATGCCTTCTTCTATTGCCATCAATTTAATTTCTTCATCCAACCAAGAGATCAGGCTGGGTTTGAATGGATGACATTCTGTACGCAGAAAAAGATACATTAATGGAAGAGGCTTATGTAAGAGATCTTCCTGTGATTAAAAAAAACTACATTTCTGATCAGGTATGCTGCATAACATATTTCTGTTCCTTTGTAGCTCTAATAAATGATTCTATTCTTACTGAGGCCAGGTACTTATAGTTCTCCAGCATCTCATCTTTGTATAGATTTCTCTGAGTTGAATCAATTAAAGACCACCCCTGCTGGGTGAACTCTATAGCCACATCCTCAAAGGTAACCAATTCTTAGATGATCACACATATGCTAATTGAGCACAGTGATATGTCCACCAATGTTCACTGTTAAGAAGTGACACCAATGCCTATAAAGGATTCTAAGGTCTTCCATATTCTACCATATTCAGTGGTCATAGGACATCTCTGAAAACAATTACTCACTGAGGATCTCCTCCATCGTAGGGCTTTTTAGCATCTTTTATAGGTGAACTTATCTCTCCATAGCTAGACAGGGAGCTCTTTTTGTGCTATTTCTCTATATTACAACACACTCCTGAGCATGTTACAAAGACTTGATAAATAGCAATATATGAATAAATTATTTGAGAAAGGATACTTTCATTTTCTTTACAATCTATCAGAACACCCAGAGAAATAAATATCAGCACCCTGAAAGTTAAGATTAGTATGATTATTAAAATACTGAAATAATTTTCAGGTAACCCCTCACCAATCTAAGAGGCATGGCTATCTGAGAAATTCAGTGAGGGACTAAGTCTTGGCAAAGTTATTTTTTGCTCTAAGGAGCTCTGAAAACAGGTCTGTCTATAAGGAAATATGCCTCCCTGGTCAATCCAATTGTGCCATTTTATGGAATCCATGGCATCAAGAAAAACAAATGCTTTCCATGGTATTTTGTTTGTTTGTTTGTTTTGATTCTAGGGATTGAACCCAGGTGCATTAACCACTGAGCCACATCCCTAGACCTTTTTTTGAGACACAGTCTGAGTTGCTTATGGCCTTCCTAAATTGCTAAGGCTGGCATTTATCCTCTTGCCTCAGCTTCCAAAGTTGCTGGAATTACAGGCGTGCACCACCACATCTGGCCCATGTTTTTTACATAATATGGATTCAGGGTTGCATGCTTACATTCCAGATTATGAGAAGATTCCAGTGGCTCTCCCATGTTCCTTAGATTATGAAGCATCTTTAGACTAAGTTGTTTCATGTCCTTAAAGTACAGGGGAACATCTAACGCTTTTACACATTGCTTATACTAACAATGTTCGTCATCACTGTGGGTTTAAATGTATTACTTCCTACAGGAGTTTCTTCATTCTTTACATCCAGTGGGGATCCTTTTGTGTGTTTTGGTATTTTCAGTAAGATAAAAAGAACAAATAATGGCTTTCTCACATTCCTTACATCCCATGTGCCTGTGAAGGTAGGAGGAACACATAAATACTTTTCTATAACTTTACATTCAAAGGGCTTCTGTCTACTGTGAGTTATCACGTGTAAAGTAACACGAGGAGGAAGCAAAGTCCTTCCCATCTTGGTCATAATCAAAGTGTTTCTCTCCTGTTATGACTTAAATGCTCAATAAGACCTGAAGATGTACTGATAGTTTTTCCCATGTCCCTTACACTCATATGGAATCTGTACAACGTGAGTCAGTATATGCGTAGTAAAGGCAATACAGTTAAGTCTTTCCACAATTGTATGTTTATATGGTTTTGTGTGATTTTGCAAGTGCTTCTTAAAACATGACTTTCTAAAGGATTTTGACCATGTGTTGGATTTAAAGGGCTTCTACCCTTGTGGATTTTCAAATATTTAGTGGGTTGAGAGAAGCCAGGGAAGGCTTTCCTCTATTCCTAGGGTTTCCGCCCCCAATATGTTTGAGCATGTTTATTGAGGCCTGAGCTCACAGTGAAGGCCTTCCCACATTTCTTACATTCATGGTTCCTCTTTGATGTGAATTCACATGAGAATGTGAAGCCAGTAGGAACATGTAAATGTTTCCCCACACATGTACATAAAAAAGGTTTCTCTCCAGTATGAGTCCTCAAATATGAAGTAAGATAGGAAGAAGCAGCAAAGGCCTTCCTGGTGATATCCAAATGTTTCTCATCTGGTCATTAAGGCACAATGCTGTAATAAAGTCATTCACAGATTCTTTCCATTTATAGGGCTCCTATGTGAATCCTTACATGTTTACTTAGTGACAAAAATACTGAAGGCTTTCCAACATTCCTTACATTCATAAGGTTTCTCCTCTGTGTGATTTCATAGCCCTATAACCCAGTAAAACTTGCCAAAGGTCCTGCATTTAGAGGGACTTATTCCTTATATATTCATATGACTGTGAAGGTGGGAGGAATGCATGAGTGTTTCCCAACACACTGGACACTCAAATGGCTTCTCTTCTGTGAGCTCATGCACACAAACAGTTAAGTTTTGCTGTGCTTAGCAAAACAAGGAGTTCTGTGAGAAAGTATGAACTCTTTGAACTGTGTCCTTGTTGCTGTCTTAAGATAGGAGAAAAGAATGTTCTGCCAAGTGTAAAATTTATATGTGTGTGTGTGTGTGTGTGTGTGTGTGTGTGTGTTTGCCTGGGAATAACTAACCACAAGTTAATTGATAAGAAATACGGAGCACTGTGACCATAAACAAAGTTTTCCTGAGAATGTTTATCCATGCTTGTAAGGATTAAGCTGACGAAAGGATGTTTTTTCTTTCCTCTTGTTTTAATTAACAATGTTGTATAAAAGAAGGAGAGAAAAAAGTAAAGACGGTGCTCGTTTTCTACTGAATGTGTGTGTGTGTGCATGTGTCTTTCTTAAGCGTCTCTGCTGTACCAGAAATTACAGATTGTCAACGGGTCTGACACTCTTCAGTGTGGGATTGCATATGAATATTAAGGTGGACAAAATATCTAAAACATTTTCCAATTCCCCACATTTGCAGGATAGTTTTACAACCTGGGTTTGAACATGCACCATACAGCTTGTGGAATGAATAAAAGTTTTCCTACAGTACTTCCATCTGAATTCTTTTTATCTTGTTGAGTTCTCCTGTGGGCCTGAAGGTGTGACTGTTTGACAAATGCTTTCCCACAGACATGGTACTCAAAGGTGCCGCGTCCGGCCAAGGGAGCCGAGTCCGGCGAGGGAC